CAGCCGAAAAGCAGATCTGGGCCGTCTGAGCCTACCAAATTAAAGTGCACCGTAAGTCAAGATGAACACTATCTGGAGGAATCTGGGCACGTGGTTCATGTTTAGATCTTCAAAGATCCTTTAAAGCATGTTCCCAGACCCAATAAGTTCGGCCCAGATCCACACGGAGACCAGCTGGCTTGAGAATCTCTTTACCAGATCCAATCCCTTTTGGTATTTTGTGGAAACAAAGAAAGTTAAGCCGAGGAGAGTTTGTTCTAGTAGTTAGGGTAGTAGTTAGGGTTGAGATTCCAAGAATTAAAAATTTTGTACTCTAATCACCTTATCACCTTCCTTCAAAGGAAAGAAAAAGTTCTCCTTATCACCTTCCTGCTTCTTAATGCTTAGATTTGATGGGAAAAGAAAACCAAGTGAGAGAAGATAATTCTTTTTTGATGTTGGGGAGTTGTGGAGCAAATTGAAAAAAAAAAAAAGGAAATGGAAAGATTTGGATGGATCACTCTGGCAGCTATACTTAAACAACAAAAAACTTGGAGCAATTTTTATAAAATACCACTTTTATACATAACTGTCTATTAAACAAAATTTTATTGACATTATGTATGCAATATCATTTCATCTTTTTCCTAAACTCCCAAATAACATCAAAACTAAATATCTTCTTTTCTCTCTTTTTTTTTTCATAACTTCAGAGCTTTCTCTTCTTTTCTTTTCTTTTCTATTCTCAACTCCCAAAGTAGTTGTAAATCTCACCCCTCCCCTAAGAAAAGTCAGATATAAAACAGCAAGAAGAAATCAAAAGTACCCACAAAGGGAAAGATTGTGTAACACTATGCATTCCTCTGAATGGTTTGATCTTTGTGGTACATTTCATCTTTCAAACCAGGTGTTTTTGTTCTTCATCAAAGCGGAGTTTTCGAGTACCTGACATATGATTGGATAAATCTTAGCATACTTAATTCGTATTCAAACTTAAATTTCATTATCTAACTAGTTTGACTCTTCAGCAGAGCCAAATCTTACACTCAAGACCATATGGTCTTTGTAGCATTATTGCATGTTTTAGTTGCACATGTTAATATTTTCTGGTTTGAGCAAATTCCCAATATGGTCATTTCCAACAGTGATAGGTACCAATGGGAACGGATGAAACTATAGTGATCCCACAATTGTAAGAATCTTTAGTTTAACAAACAAAAATAACACAAAGGCTTCTGAGATGGAAATACAAGAAAAGTAACACCCCCAAAATGTAACAAACTTATCACGAATCCATTCTAGTTAATAGCATTTCCTATTGCATGGAATGAAAACAATCCTATCTGACTTTTCTTAGGTAAGCAAGTTAATTTTATTCAATCAATGACAAAAGGATCATCAGGGGCGGATCTAACGTGGGGGCACGGGAATCCACTGCCTTGTTTAAATCTCTATAGTACCCATAAAGTTTTGATATAATTTCAAATATGTCCCTTGAAGTTTTGTATATCCATTAGTTTATATGTTCCTAAAGTTGTCTTTGATTTTGCTTGCTGTTACAGCTATCGTAAAGAGCGCTTTTTCAGCTATAAATGTAGTGAAGAATCGGTTACGAAATAGAATGGGAGATACTTGGATGAATGATTATTTAATTACTTACATTGAGAAAAATATACTTCTTGAAATTCAGAATGAGAAGGTTGTAAACCGTTATCAAAATATGAAAACTCGTCGTGAGCAATTGTAAACAGTTTAGCTTGCTTTTTGAAATAAAATTATTATTACATTAATAATTTTGAGTTTTTTTTTATGTTTTTCATGGAATATATGCATCATTTATACTTGTTGGTAAATTTTATTTTATTTTTTTTAACTTAAAAAACTATAAAAAGAGTAGGTAAAAAATTTTGAAGTTGCTTTTGCTCCCCACTGAGAATTTTTTTTTTCTGGCTCCGCCATTGAATTCACCAAGCAACAAAAGTTATAGGGATAGTACCAAGGTCTAAATAGGAAGTGCTTATAAATTCAAGCCTACTTGAGCGGGAAAATTAGTCTATATAATGTTGCAATAGTTCATCTACTTCTTTTATTTTGGTAATTACTCATTTGAAATTGGGTGAAAGAATCTGATCATCATTGTATGTATTTTTTGACAACTCATATGAAAGACTGAAAACAAGGGAGTATCGAACCCCAAAAGGCTGCTGATACATCATTAATGATATAGCTGAAATCAGGCGCTCCATTCAATAGAAAACCGGGCAAAGGTGCAAGATTTATGAAAATCATAGTGCCACCTTATAATAATGATAAAGAGTAACATTTGGATGTGCTTTCTCAATTAAGACCAAAGAACAAAACTTAATTCATGATGTTTCATGTTTAAATAATAATCTTAAAATTGTATGACTTGAGGACAAATTTTGGTAACGGGATTTTGTCCATCCACATGCTTGTTTATCATACTTGAAGGATGTAACAATCATATATTTGAAAACTCAAAGCAGCTTTGTATAGAAGGTTTCAATATTGTTGTATGAATTAATGGCTAAAAAGATCAAATCAAGAATAACCATAGTGACCTTTAATCGTGCTGCATGCCAGAAGCATTAGTCCAAGAGAAAAGTTAACAATTTTCTTCAAGAACTAGCTAATTCGCCAAAAATGCATGGTAAAGACTTCAAATCAGGTGTTCCCCATCAAGATGGAGGAGGGCTTGGGCAAGGCGTTTGCAGTGGCTTTCCACATAATCCAGGATTACCTGAAAAGCTGCTTGCATTGAAATGGCCATGGACATCAGGAATTGGACCACTAAAATTGTTGTACGAGACATTGAATGCTCGAAGATTCAAGTAGTTAAACTCAGGAATTCTTCCACTTAGATCATTGTTATCAGCAAGAAAGCCAACTAGGCCTGAGATTCGCGGCAAATCAGGTAGCTCCCCAGAGAAACCATTGCTTGAGATATCAAGCATTATTAAATTGCTTAATTTGGAAAGGGAACCTGGAAGGATACCTGAGAAATTGTTTCCTCTTATGAATAGGCGCCTTAGTTGGCTACAGTTTGATATCCCTTCAGGTAAATTTCCGACGATTTGGTTGTGATTCAGGCTCAAGTGAGTTAGTGATTTTGCTACACAGAGAGAATTAGCATCAAGAACTCCAATGAGATTGAGCTTGTCTAGATGTATAATTCTGACACTCTTCGATATTGCGTTGCAAACAACTCCTTGCCAAATGCAGGGGTCTGAGGTTAAATTCCAGCCCCAGTTTGCACTCCTGTTAATGTTTCCAGGAGAAATTTGGATCATGAATCTGACTAAGGCTTGCCTTACTTCTTCTGTTTCTGATCTAGAGACTGACAAGAGGAGAAACAACCCCATTAAGGCAGCCCAGATGAGAATTAATCGACCCATTTTTACTCCTACTTTGACACGCTAAACTTGATTAACATGCCCACTTTATATAGAAGTTTGCTTCTTCATGGACAAAAAATTTGCATTGTAATCTGCTGAGATAAAACACTAGAACTTTTCAAAAGGATATATTATATAGCATGACTAAATGAGAAAGTATGCTACACTCATCATAAAATATAGTAAAAAGTTTAGATATAACTTTCTTTCGTTTTTCTCTTATTTTCTCCATTAAAACTTGTTTTGGTTCACCAAAATTGCCTTGCCATTCAAGCAAACTAGAGAGGCTTCCTGTTTTCTTTAATAGTCAACTAAATCACTTCTCTTCTATTGATCACTAATACCAATTTTGGTTATTAAACAAAATTTACTAACCCTATTTTAATTTTTGGGAGAAAAATGCATATTAAGGGCTTATAAAGATGGTTTTTTTTTTCCCTTTTGTTGTTTTAGGGAATGTATATATATCATGCAGATCTTTCTTTTTCTTCTTGTTAATAAGTAAAATGGGCAGATTTATGATTAGCCAATTCCCTAATTAAAAATTTTCTCATTTTTCATATAACTGCAAGTATTTTAAGAAAGATGAACTTCCATCTCTCATAGTAAGGGGAAAAATCGCTGTCAAAATATGAAAATAGAAGCAACATAAACCGACTTGACATAAAACAAAGTTCTGAAGAGGCCAGCACTTATAGTTTTTGTATTTAACTTGAGCATTGTTGTAAGGCGAAAATAACTATGTTAAACTTGGATGGTTGTCTATGTCAGTCATTTGGATAGACAAACTACCTTAAAAAGCAAACAAAATCTGAAAATACAATGGCCTGCTGGCATATGGAAAATTAACAAAGCTAATTTTATAGGGCAAATTCCACTTTTACCCCCTATGATTTAGTGTTTTTTTACATAACCCCTCTATAGTTTTAAAAGCTATACATAACCCCCTCATGATTTGAATTAAAATATTAAAGTGATGGAAATAATTATTCGTAACGAAACTTTTAAAAATATCGAAATTACCCTTATAAATACATAACATACTAACACCATATGATTTTTGTATTTTACCATATAACTTCCTTATAATTTTTAAAATATACACATAACCCCCCTTAGTTAATAAATAATTTTCAACTTCATATAAAGATATTTTTGACATTTTAGGTGATTCCGTTACGAATGATCATTTTCGTCAATTTGATACTTTAATCCATACCATGGTAGGATTATGTATAACTTTTAAAATCATAGGGGGTTTATGTAAAAAAATATTAAACCACAAGGAGGTAAAGTGAAATTTGCCCAATTTATATGATAACAGTGGATATGATGCACATATTGCTGCATATACAACAGAATGCCACAACATTGATATACAGTAAAGTACCACAATCATGCCACGCAAAATATAAAATTGATTGTGTCTTAATTTCCACTCAAAAAAAAGGCAGAGTTTCGTTTGGTTTTAAATCAATACCTCAAAGATACAAACCTGTCCAACAAAACATTCAACATCATACAATTAAAAATGGCATCATGACAGCAAACATTGAATATTAGTGTGGAATGGCCATATGTAAACACATAATAACTTAGCCCGAAGGTATGAGCAACATCGACTGATGAAAGTTCTGAATTAGAAAGCAAAATACATGATCCGTGGACAACTGAAAGAAAGTCAGCCAACTACATATAAACAGAAATGACCATGTATAAACTTCGAGTTAAAAAGACTCATGTCTGGCACTCTTTAATAATCCCTATGAGTCAAAATGGATAGTTCGAAACATTGTGACCAACAGCAAAACAATGACTGCATCGCCTTGGCACATCTTGGATAAAGGCTGTCCATTTTTTTTGTGTATCCTTGCAGTTTTAACTCTAGTTAGTCACTTCTTTGCCAATCTAGTGGACAGTATGGTAAAATTGCAATCTACATCTGCCCAATATCTAGGATGCCTTAAAGGTTGAAATTTACCCGAATAGGTCTGCACATATGCATCCAATGTGTGCACTTCTCCAATCAGCTTTGTTGGATTCATACCTAAACTATAGTACGTAGCTATCACATGAGAACAAGGGAATCGTAATTCTTTCCACTTCTGACAACTGCATGTGCCCAGTCGAAAATTGACGTAGTGTGGATTTCCTCCTCTTTTATCTGGCCGACGAGCTGTGACAACCCTGTAAAAGCCATTGGCCTCGTGGAAAATCTGCACTTCATGCCCTCTTGCTTTATGATGATTGGCAACATACTTGTCCCAAGAATACTTTGGCAGAGGATATCGGCAATCACTTAGCAATTTTCGACTCTCCAAAAAGAGTTCCATGGTCTGATTGAATGTAAACTCAACACATGCCTTTATTGGCAAATAACGAGCATCCCTAAAGGCATTGTTGAAGTATTCTGCCATGTTTGTTGATGTGATGCCCCATCGGTATCCGCCATCTTTGGACAGTGCCCACTGGCTGGGTTCGACTGCCTTTTTCATCAACCACTCATGGGCTTTGGGATTCAGTTCCCATATTTGATTCATGAATTTGTCAAACTTATATTCTTGTCGGGCATCTCCAGCAAGCCAGCACAGATTCTTCAATCTAGACAATTTCAACATGACATCAAAAAGCATATGAAGATGCATTTTTAAATAATGGAATAGAAAAAGTGCAATGCAAAATTAATACCTACGGTTTTTGAATTTTTGGGTGAACTCGCTCAGCACATGATCCAAACAAAAACGATGCATTGCCACTGGTTCCCTCCAATCATCTAGCGTCTTCATGGCATTTATGATGCCTTTGTGACAATTTGATATGACACAAATCCCCTGTATATCATGACATACATGAACTCTAAGCTGTCTCATAAACCATTTCCAGCTTCGATTACTTTCTTCATCGACCAATGCAAAAGCAAGAGGTAGGTGATGATTATTGGCATCAATTCCAACGGCTGTAAGTAACTTGGCTTTGTATGGGCCCTTCATAAAAGTCCCATCAACACATACAACCGGCTTTAGATGTGGAAATGCTTGAATAGCAGGAGCAAAAGCCCAAAATACATAGTCAAATATGAAATTCCCATCATGGCTATGAGGGTGATGCATCCACACTACAGCAGTACCTGGGTTGGTTGCAACTAATTCCTTCATGTATTTAGGCAGTTGAGAAACGGACGTTGGCCAATCACCGTACACCAGATCAATAGCCCTACGCCGAGCATACCATGCCTTCCTATATGAAATATCAATGTGAAACATTTCCTTAATTGCTGCCTGAATTTCTTTAATACGGTAAATAGGACAACTCTTAAGGTGATGCATGATATACTCGACTACTATATTAGAAGATAACTGCATATGGTCAATGCTGTTGGAGACTCGAACACAAGTGTGGCTCTTGACAAAAGAAACAATCATCCACATCATCTGAGTATGCCACAGAGTTGCCCTTAACTGCCAATTGCAAGGTGGGTGGGAGCTTCGGTTCTTACACTTTACAAACCACGTATTTTGTTTGCTCTCACAAACTTCATATTCTCTATTTTGCTTGATTGACCATAATTTCACAGCTCTAGAAACATGCTTCTTGCTGTCAAATAACATCCCCAACCGTAGGTCCATGGTATGCTCGTTCCACACATTCAAGTGCTCTGCATGACCTCCATTTCCCCCATCAAACGGCAATGTTGCACTAACACTGGCATCATCCCAAAGTGATGGTGTCACATTAGAGGGCCAAGGTGAACCTTCATCACATGCTATATGATCATTTGCTTGACCATCCCCGGCATAGCCTGATCCATCATTGGCAAGGTTATCATCACCAGAATCATCATCACTTGGTTCCGGTTCAGAATCTACTTCATCAATTATCAGATCAATAGGCTCACCTGTGGAGGGAGCAGAGAATGTAGGTAGTTCCGAGTGCTGATTTTCTGCAAGCTTAGTCAACCAAGACAACTGCCTCTGGATGGTATGGCTCTCATTGTAGCGCCCACTACTTCTATTACGATTCACATTGGATGCTAGAGGGGCCGCACTGATTGATGGTGCAAATTGGGCAGCATATTTGCCTCCTGTACCACCTACAAAGGGTTGGACCAGTTGGGATGCAATATTCGAGGAGTTCAATTGTGCATATGTATTTAGGGCCAACTGTATGTTTGTCTGGTCAACATGCTGTTGGTCCTCAACATCAATGTAAATCTCAGCTGCATATTCTGGTGTTGAACTTTTCAGGTAGTAGAATACATCAACTCCTTTGTCATTCATCAGTGGCATACCAAATAATATGGCAAAGCCATTGCCATATTCTACTCTGTTTCTAAATGTCAAGTGGACTCTAAATTTATCTCGGTCCAGTTTCATGGCATTATAGATCCTATTAACCAACTCATCATAACCTATTCGTTCCTTCAGTATGAGAACTTTTTGGCAAATCGGAGGATCATACGCTATAGATTCTCCTGACAAAATAATTTTGCCTCCCCAATATAGTAGGACTACTATGGGACGCTGCAAGGACATGGTTAACATATCCTGATAATTGACATTTAATCAGTGAATGTAAGATAAAAAATATTTTAAATAGCATAAATTACCACAAGTAACTATTATTAAAAAATCATTTATGTAGTTTCTTTCTGCCAAGCAGCAAATGAGCAGGTTAGTTGAGTACTCCAAAATTAGTAGACTCAAATAGTTTATTTCATCCAAGACAGATAGTTGCTTTGCTTCATTTTATCCAAAGGTAGTTGGTAATAATTGCTCATTTATCAAATCTTTAACGGTGGACAGAACCAATACTTGTTTCTTATCCTTTTGGCTTTATTGAGCTGCTGTTTGATATTTCTATGCAACTTCAAATGAACAAAAAGCATAAGCCATGTTAAATTTCAATCATAGATGGAAGGTTACAAAATTTAGAACCTTTCATGTTTATCATCTGTGTTAGGTACTAGAAATTGCAGAAACTGAAAGCAAGTAATGATAAAAAAAAAAGAACAAATCGACAAACCTGATCTACAGATGAAAGACTATTGTTAGGATTTGCAAATTCAGCTACTAATTCATTTGCAACCTGCACAGGCAAACAAATATATATTAATCAGGCATGCCATCTCTGGTTGAAACAGATTAATCATACAACAGAACAAGAGTAAATCATTCCCAGTAAAAGTGGTTTATAATTCTCCAAACAGAACCTAAACTTCGTTCCAAAGCCCAAAAACAAAATACCCAACCAATCCCCAAAAATAAGTTGCGTTCTTTGAGAGTTACAAGGCTATTAGATAACCTTAGCAAACTCTTAAACTCTGTTAAACCCAAATTTTGTACCTGGGGTTTAAATTCTCACAAGGCTATGAGACCATATTTTGATATTGTTATATAAAATTATCACTTTGAATGGCCACCAGTGTATTGTCTTTTTGAAAATCTACCTACCAAATCTGTGAAGTAGCAATAGTCAGATTCCAAAGTTGTTGGCTTGCATATGTTTGTGCTAGTTCACATGCACAACTTTGCAATAAAACACATCATGGTCTCAATATGATCTTTTGATAAGTCATCATGGTCATGATATTGATCCAATGTATAAGTATTGTAATAAAGCAATAAGTGATAAACAACAATCAACAGGTGTCATCAATGTTTGGTCTCAATACGAATTTATAATGTCAGTAGTTTTACAAATTAAATAATCACCTACCTTTGTCAAGTACTAAAGTTTGTCTCCAATCAAAACTACTGTTCCAAAGGAAGTTAAAGTACAAAATAACACCATGAAGCATATAGATTATTTATATGGAAGAGATAATGAATAGATTAAAATATGCACTTAAAATAAATTGTTAAACAAATCGTTTGTCAACAACCAAAAAAAAAAGCAAATTGTTTTCTTTTGTTGAAAAAAGAAATTTATTTTGATTGTATCACCTGTCAATTGCACATTGTCTAAGTACATCCCTGTATGGTTTATACAAACTGCATTTTGATCTAAGTATACTATATCAACATTCATTTAGTGAACACCTAATTCGTGAAATTGAAATATGGTGGCAACCTTTTTCAATATTGCTAGTGAGAAATTGGTGCCCTTCTATAAATTCATGTTGAATTTGGGCATTTACTCCAAAGTCCCCAAGTAAGACAACTTTTTCAAGTTATGTTCCAATTCATAAACCTTAATCATATGTCACTATATTCAAAATTGGTCAAGTACGATATTCCTCTAATTCCACCAATATTTCTTACTTTTGAAAGATTTACAGTTAGATACTAAATCCTTCCATCAAAAGCACAAGAAATAATTTAGTAAAGAGTAATAGTGGTCAAATTAGTGATAATAATTAGCTTACTAGGATTCCATTCAACCAAAACCCATTACCATATATGATCAAGAATGTGAACTTTAAAAAAAAAAAATCTAACAGAGGAAGGGTGAGAACTAAGAAATGAAAGGGCAAAAGAGAATTTGAACCAAAAGTTCAAAGTTTTTGGGCGATCAAGAATAGAGTTTCTGAAGTGAGGGATAATAGAATCAGCAAGACAATCTTAACCATTGAAACTCCCACCTACTAAAAAGTCAAAAAAAAAAAAAACTCAAAAGTTACAGAAAAAATTCAAAAAAATTAATTATTTTCCCATGAAACAATAACTATTTTTGGATTGACAATAAAAGAACATAAAATAATAAAATAAGCTTCAATTTTCCCAAAGATAGATTTTTTTCTTGGATTGGCAAACTATTGCAGCACAATTACCACACAACTCGTGCAAAACGCAAACAAGGATTCGATCCCACAATCAGATGTTTCTATTAAATAGCCCCAATTCAAAGTTTTCTTTTTTGACATTTTCCCCTAAAAATAGCTTTTGATCACAATTCAGAAACCTATTGCACTTCAGCCGACATCACATTTTAACATTTCAAAATTCTAGAGTTTGATTCAGAGCACCAGATTTCAAAATCCTATTCTACATATTAATCTAGTGTACATTTCTAGAATAGTCTGCACTTCACTTTTATCAAGGGCACCCAAAAATGCTTTTAAAAAATAGAAAGAAAAAAAAACAAAATCATAACAAGCTAACAGCATGAATGAGGGAGAGACATTGGAGGCAAATGACGAGCTGAGACGGAGGAAGACAACGACGGCGGCAGAGGAGGTGGAGTGGCTGAGACGATCCGAGGAAGAGGAGAATGGCGGAGGTAATTTCCGATGGAGGACTGGCGTGCTGGGTAGAGAGGGTCAGCAGATGAGGAGCAGGGGAGGAGGGCTACGTGCGGCGGTGGCGTTTGTTCGGAAAACCACAGAAGATCGACGGGACGGTGGAACCACAGAAGTAAATGAAGAAGGGGAGTGCAGTGTGACTAAGGTTTAAGCCCGCCATAAAAAGCCCGCCAAAATTTCAGAAACTTCACCTGAGGCATCTGACTATGACTGTTTCACTTAGTTATCTCAAAGTTTTAAAAATTATACAAAAAAAAAAAAATTACCCTTAATTTGACACTTTTGGTAACCAAACCTTAAAATAGGGTCAAAAATTTAATGAATATCCTAGTACTTTATTGGGGATATAGATTTTTTTTTTAGATAGAGAAAAAGTTGATATTTTTTTTTTTTTTAACTTGTGGACTTTTTTTTTTTGAAGAAAAGTTTATGGACTAGTTAAATGATGGAACTATCATGGTTTGGTAGTGATGTTGATCCACTCTTTTTAATTATTGTTGATTTATTCTTGATTTTGATATAAAAAAAAGAGTTGCAAAAAAAATTAAATGATATTAAAAGCTATAAAAAATAATACTAATTTAAATTTGATCAAGATGGAGGTTTGGGACAATATTGATAGTTCTTCTATATTTCTAATGAAATATAAGAGAAATGAAATAGAAGGGAATAGGAAACAAATTATAAAATCCGTCATTTGTATAAAGATGGCAACAAGGAAATTTTATTAAAATATTAAGATTAGTATTATCATTTTAAATGAGCAGGGGAAATAGGTGTAATTTTTAAAACATTAGAAAAGTTAAATGAAATTGTTATAAACCTTAGGAGAGGTTTTTGAAATTATCCAAAAAAGCTTTAGACCTACCGCATTTTTGAATCGCGGGAGCTGGATTTTTATTTTTTTGGGTAAAACTGCGGCTCCATTCGGATTGGCTATTTTTTAGGGTGTTTTCGAAAAATTTTACTGTAGCATTTTTTCAAATACTGTTGATGTCATTTGGATAGGTCGTTTTTCAAAAACTCATTGTTTTCAACAAACTTCTACGGTTGGATTGATCTATATTTCAAAAACAACTACAATTTGATATGCCATAAAATGCATTCGCCGGCAAATTAATTTCTACCCTCGAATCATGGAAATTGGCGTTGTATTGGGCATTAATTTACAGATGACATTGGCTTGAACATACCTGCCATGGATGTATAAATATACCCCTGTTTAGCCATTGCATGCTTAGTATTCAAAAAAGGACATGTGACTTTTAGATAGATGGTCAGATCATTCATAAAAATGGATAGATTAGGACCATAGCAATTGAAGCGAACTTTAATTCAAGAGTTGCTACCAAGGTCAAATTGAAATGTGAAAAGGAAATAATCTAGAGAGCGTCCAAATAATTGCTCCCATACACAACCAAATATCATATGAACTAAAGTATCTCAAAGGAATATAACGGATGATAGAATGAGCATGTTAAATGTCCTAGTAGCTAACAATTAGAAGCTAGTCCAATGGCGAATTGCTACTTGTGTGAATTGAGATACATGTGAGCCGCTATTGCCTGCTGATCTTCGTTCCAGTTGTCTATGCCCTGCTGCGACAAATCGAAATTTTGACCTCCCTAAACTTTATTCCCTGCATCCTGTGCATCTGCTAAGGCATCGAGGGCTGCTTCTTCGTTGAAGTACATATCATTGGGCATATTATCTCGGATGAAGTTGTGCAGCGTACAGCATGCAAGCACAATGTTGTTTTGAGTTGCTATTAGATAGTTCTGCATTGGACCTTTGAATATTAGAAATCGCTTCTTAAGAACTCAAAAAGTTCGTTCAATAATATTTCTAAGTGAAGCATGCCGCCGGTTGAACAAAGTTTAACTGCTCGCTCATGCTGCATGCCACGAGCATCCCTAAAAGGTGCCATAAACCTAGGCATGTTAGTGTATGCAGTATCCACCGCATAATATTTTCCTAAGCAACCATGAAATAAGATTAGAGTTAGTGTTATAAGTTAAATGTACATAACTACATAACTAAGCCGAAGCAATCCAGGCAACACAATTAATTCCACATAGGGTGAAGTTGTTTCCTTCAACTTATGAAAAATAGTAGTAGGATGGCATACCTTCAGGTGCCATTGGAAACCCTGAATTTAGATCAAGCAAGGTGTTTCGGAGAATTCTAGCATCGTGGGCACTGCCCTCGTAACCGACTTGAATATAAACAAATCGCATGTCATGATCGCAAACCGCTAGAACATTTTGAGATAACCCACAGTACCTATTTCTGTACCTCTCTTGTATCTCTGCTCTCACCCAAGTCGAGACATGGGTTCCATCTAAGACTCCAACACAATTCTATTAGCAAATTGACACAGTTAGGATCTTCTAAACGAATTTCGAAATAGTTAAAGATGTATACCATTTCGTATTTATTTACCTTGAAATACGGCCAAAACAATTGATTATTTATAATTCTGGGTTGTGTGTCATCGAAATTTTTTAGCCTAACGAGATCACGATTAAGTCGCACCAATGCTCGCAGGACACGATGTACATGTTGATCAATTGTCTCCATTGAATGTTAGAAGCAATCAGCTAGAATCCAATGTCACTCATCATGGTCAAGCACATTAGCTTTAAAGCAATGGACTCATGAACCCCAACTCTCTGAGAAGGATAGGCATGCCAATAACCACGCTCAACCAATATATCGCACAGGTGCAGGAAAAGGGGAACATCCTTGCGCATGTTCTCGATAATTCTATCTCAGTGGCCATTTATCAGCTCAAGCATGTAATCCCTGCCAGAGTGTGCACTATCACGAACTCTTCTTTTTCTAGGGGTAGGATTAATGAATGGGTCAAAGAAAATCATGCCAAATGGCACAACCGCCATAAGTATCTGGTTCAGATCGATATCGTCTCTCTCATCGTCCAGTTGACCGCCCTAAATGTGGATTTTGTTATCCATGAAGTTGGCACCAGCTATCTCTACAACTCCCGGTCGATTCCCTGCACATTAATGTCCCAAATACAGAAAAAAAGTTGTCAAACCTACTGCATCCCTAGAAGCCACCACTTTATACATAAAAAAATGTCCATATTTATAAAAACAAGAATACTCAAGAACATAAGGCCAATTTCATATTTCAGGAAAAAAAGATTATTCGGACAACCTGTAATCTGGAAGACAAATTTGGACCAATATTAAAGTTATGCCATATAATATTGGATAAGAGTTATTCGACAACAGATGACAATAAACATATTAACTAGTTATACTGAACTCAAATGCATTCAAAACAAGTATTCAAGTCCAAGTCCATCCAAATGCACAGTCAAGCTAACTAGTTTAACTATAGAGTTATCCAATGGGGATATGTGGTAGCTAAGGATAAATGAAACATCCAACCATGGCAACATTCTTTCATATCACAACTATGAAAAAATGGAAGAAACTAATAAAATTGTTCCGTGATACAGTGGCATGAGCATTTTTTAAGTGCACAAACTCATACTACTTAAATGCCTAAGCAAGCCTTAAATAATATCCACGGGAAAATGAACCAACATAAATAAGATGTCATCTCATAAGGCTAAAAAAGATAAAATGGATGTCGTGAGCGTCTATACTGGGGGTAGGAACCCCCGGTGCCTCACAAACACAATACAAGCTTCATCTGTCTTGCAGGTGAACCAGATGGCCCGCTCGGAAGGGTCCTTTAAGGTATCAGCAACCTTCAGATGCACATTGATGTCCAAATATAGAGCGCATAGCTTTGCCAAGGCAACTTATAGCTCGTCATTAGCATTGTAAGGAGGATGGGCAATCTTTGAAGGTGAAGAGACCGAACCACTGATACTACTGCTCTTTTTGCAACTCAAATAGATCTCAATGCTATCTAGAACCTGGAAGTACTGCTGAAATTGGGGTGATGAACCTGAGAAGAATGATTCGGTCGACATGTTGGCCAATTTGCGTTTTCCTTTGCCCTTCTTCACTTTTCCTTTCCCTTTCCTAGTTGCCGGCACACTCCCTTCTTCATCCAATGAACCGGCGTCTATAACATTCTTTCCCCTACCAGCTCTAGCAGCATTTTCTATTTCCAACTCGTCTTCCGAATTAGGGGGTGATACTCCATGTGCAGTGCTAAAGTCTTCAGTAGCCCCCTGATTCATGAAAACTTCTTCTAGCAAATGGAAAATAAAGCACGGTCTATCATAAAATCTTCCATAGCCCTTGTTTATCTACAAAAAATGGAAGTACTTTAATTAATGAAGCATAAAACATCCCTGGGAACTCTGTACTTGCATCAAAATAAGAACAACATGCTCTTTTCGAGAAGGGGGGAACAATTACATATTTTAAAAAAGAACATACATATGTAGGTGTTGTTACCTGAAGTAGATCTCTCCAGCGGCCATCGTCCATCATGAAATTATAATTGGTTGAGTCCCAACGCATACCAGTGCCACGTTTCTTAAATGAAATGTACATACTGATCAGGTTTTGAAAGGTATAGTATTTCAACCGAATAGCTGAACGGGGAAATGAAGTGCCGGACGTGTCATTAAGCAGTCTAGTAATCTCGAGGACGACATGACTCCCGATGTTATGAGCGGATATTTCTCCGTTCCTATGCATTTGGACAAGGTATTGGGCAAATACAATTTCTTGTTTCGGGGTGAAACTGTTACGTTCCATATACTTCGCTTTCGATTGACTCAATTTTTTTTCTTTTGGATGGCAAAATCAAAAATAGAGGCGACGCAAAAAAAAAAACAACAACAGAGGGTGAAGTGCCATTCATCTATATTATGATCAAAGGCAACCTTGACTTATTGATTAAGTGTAGGATCTTGTCGATAACTCACCTTGAAGTAGTTGGTGAGGCAAAGTTAAAAATCGTTTTCTCCTTGAGCTGACTTCGACGAACAAGTGCTGAATCCCCTACCTCTTTGCAAAGCTGTGATAAAGTGGGCAAAACTATGAAAATGCATCTAAAAATTAGACAAGCTGCACTTAGTTGATACCCTTCCAAGCACGCCAAGTCAAGGGGGGCATATAGTTGCACTAGGATACCTC